GGATAGAAATAGTATAGGGTATTTGTAACCTAAATTCCCTAAAGTTTCAGGTAAACTCTGGGTTCCTACTTTGGTGTTCCCCCTTTTAGCTCTGTTATTGATTAGATTAGAACTACGAGGTTTGAGTTGATTTTTACAAATGAACTAGTTACTGGAGAAGTAAATTTTGAGAGTCTGTGCCAACTTGTATTGAAATCTGTTTTGTCAGGGTTCTTAGCAGGAACAAATGAGCAGCTTCTGCAAGTAACCTGGAGACAGAATGGAAAAATCCAATGGAGGGGTGCCCTTGAGGATATGGTATTTTCCAGACTGCCCCAAAGAAAGGTGTGCCAAGGACCTGACAACTGCATGGGATATTTGAGATCCAGGAGGAATTGTGTTGATTTGAATGGATTTTGGGCAAGAGTACTGAGCTGCAGGGAGACTTAATGGCTGGTGTTATTGCTGTCCATTATTATATCCCTTTGGCTTTCGTTCTCTGTATCTATATGCTACATTCTCTTGATTATCTTGATGCTGTTTGATTTTCCCCTTCAAATGAGTCCCTAATTTTGGGCATTCTTACTAAGGCTTGTACTGTGCTTGGTTAATGGTTCTGGTCCTACTCTGTACTTGGGGCTGTCCCATGGTGTCCACAGTACTATTTTACCCAGTGCACTCTCTGTGCTCATCAGCATACCCAGAAGTCTCCTTTGACCAACAGGGGCAGGAGAGGGGGAGATGGAGGGGATGTTAAGGGCTGTTAAGGGGTCCCTTCAACTTGTCTGAGTTGCTATATTTTCTAGAAACTCCTTAAGAGTCTGGCCAGTATGGCAAATCTTTAACAAACCCTGTCTTTGGCTGAAAGAAGTCTTGGGTTGAATTCATTTGGGCAGGAACATGTTACTATTTCAGGGTCCTAGAACCCCTAAACCTCAACATACAGTTCCCTGAACCTCAACACTTCCATCTTTAAATCTATGATCCTATGATACTCTCTACCAACTGTATTTCCTGAACATGACATTCCATCCAGTGGTTTCTTGAATTTGCCCAAGCATGTTGACCCTATGGCTGGAATGAATGCTTCCTTCAAGGCTTATATCAGGTAATACCTCCTTCGGGAAACCCTCCCTAATCCCCTATAGTTGGGGCTTTGTCCATCTCCCCCAGTAGAATGAGTCCTTAAGGAAAAGGCTGGGTTTTTTTTTCTATTTGTGTTCTCTGCAGTCTGCAAAGTGCTTTGTAAATTAAACACTTCTTTCATTCATTCATTTATATCTATGTACATATGGTAAACCTTTCCCCACCCCCAGAAGAATGTAACCTAAGGGCTGACAGGGGACTTTTTCTTTTCGGGGTTTGTATCTCCATATTGCACAACAAGGAGGGAGATGAATAAATCCCAAGCTGGTAGAACAGAACGGCAAAAGCTCCCTATGTTATCACCTCTCAGCAAACACGCCCAGGAGCGCAGGAGCGGAGCACGTGGGAGGCACGCACGCAGCACACTTCCCTCACGCACGTCTCTAGCCGGGAGCCCAGCTCGAGCAAGCGTGCGCTCCAGCTCCAGCCCTCGCATGCGCACCACTCAGGAGATCGACCGGAGAGAGGGAGGAAGGGCGGAATCGGAAGTGACATCATGCCTCTCGGTTGCTAGGAGATGGATGTTACACAAACTGGCTGGTTCCCTAAAGGTTCCTGAACGCTCCATTCTTCCTTTCCCACGGGGTGCTTGGTCCTGAAAGCAGCCTGTCATGTCGGACTTCGAGCTTGAGGATCTCCGGAGCACCTTCCCCTCTTACATGGCGGAGGGAGAGCGGCTATACTTATGCGGGGAATATCAAAAGGCGGCTCTGAGCTTCACCAAAGTGAGTCCCCGCTCCAGACCTAGCGATTGATCGCTGATCAACTTTGTCGACAACAGGATTTTTAATCGATTACCGATCCCCTCTCCCCCCACGGATCCGTTTCTGTTAAATTATCTCTGATAATCCCCAATCCATGCCGGTAGAGATACCTCGTTCCCCCGATGGATCGTTCATCATCCCCCTCAGTCCAAACCCATTACAGCCCTAGATTAACTAACCCCAGTCATTTTCCATTAGCTCTCTCCTTGAGAAATTGCTGTTAGTTTCATCAGTTCCCAATAATCTCTGCCCATGAGGTAGAATACTTACTTAATACTTAATATTTACTCTCTGAATACTTACAGGCCACCTCCTCCCTGAAGCCTTCCCAGATGGTTATGTGCTCTTACACCTATTTACTTATGAGTCTACTTGTAATTTCACCTTTTAGAATGTGAATTCCTTGAGGGCAGGAAACTGGGTTGTTGGTTTGGTCTTTGTATCCCAGGCACACTACTTTAGACTTGTTGTTTAGTCTTGTCCAATTTTCTTGACTCCATTTAGGGTTTTCTTGGCAAAGATACTGGAGTGGTTTGTCATTTCCTTCTCCAACTCATTTTACAGATGAGGAAACAGAAGCAAACAAGATTAAGTGACTTGCCCAGGGTCACACAGCTAGTAAGTGTCTGAGGCCAAATTTGAACTCCGATTTTCCTGACTCCAGTTCACTTTACCACCTAGCAGTCCTCTTTGGACTTAGGATGTGCTTAATACTTGGTAAGCATTTTGTTGAATTGTAGAGTGCTGGGCCTGGAGTCAGGAAGATTCATCTTTCCTCAGGAAGCCTCAGTTTCCTCATCTATCAATAGCTGGAGAAGGAAATGACAAACCACTCCAGTATCTTTGCCAAGAAAACCCCAAATGGGGTCACAATGAATTAGACACAACTGAAATGACTGAACGACAACAACAAAACACTTATTACCTCTTCCCTAAGTTAATCATCAATTCCTCTTAACTATCCACTAGATTCTTCTAAACCTCCTTCTTCCCATTGCTGTACAAAAGTAGCCTTAGCATAAATTGCCCCTTCCCTTCATGGACTGGTTCTCCATTGGTCACAGGAAGCATGGGATTAGATATATTTTTAAGATATCATTTGCTACAAAGAATACATTCTTAGGGGCAGTTGAGGTGGCGCAGTGGAAAAATCACCCAGCCTGGAGTCAAGTAGACTTGAGTTTAAGTCCTGCCTCATACACACACTATCTGTGTGACCCTGGGCAAGTCTCTTAACCCTTTTTACTTCAGTTTCCTCATCTGTAAAATGAGTTGGAGAAGAAAATGGCAAACCAAGTGGGGCATGACCAAGCATCAACAAAAACAAATGCATTCTTAACCCTTCCAGTTCACCAAAGGGCTACTCTAAATCAAATAATCATTGACACCCAAATCTTTTCTTGTACCTCCCAGGCACATACCATACTTGTAGCCATGGAGAAACTAGTGTGGGTGAAAATGGCACCCAAGACCCAGAAATCCCAGCAGAGCGTAAAGGATACTCAAAGGGGCGGTGGCCTTGGGTAGGAGTGGCATCTTTCTGAGACATACAGTCATCTTTTCTACTTCTTAGAAATGCTTTAAGGAGAGATGTCAACGGCCAACAAAAAAACATGCTGTAGTTTTTGGTCATGGTATCACTAAGGAAGAAAAGAGACTGGTAGAGAGGCAGAGGAAGTGGTAAGAGGGGTGTGTGTGTATATGAAGTTTTTTATAACTACATCTGTAAAAATAACTTCATTCTCTAAGGCCTTCTTTTAATAGACCACTGAAATGTATAGTGAATTCTCAAATGTCTATTTAAATGGAGATGATATGGCAAATCCAAATAGCATTTTGTCTGAAATTCCATTTTGGAATTTATTCTGTCATTTTTTAAAAATAGCCAGTTAACTTCTTGGTTCTGATTGATCTAGAGAAAATTAGCATGAATCTGTTTTCTAAACATACACACCAGCTAGAAAGTAGGGAGATATGGTGCTGGAGCACATCCGAGTGGATAAAAAAGCAGTGAGAGAACCTCATAGGGTAGTATTATATTAATGAAGTTTAAATCAGTATGTAGATTCAACTGCTGGTCCATAACTCCAAATTCAGTGAAATAATCTATGTAGAGATAATCAAGAATTTCCTGTTCAAAGATCAACCCTGGGTGTTTGGCTGATAAGACTCAAGGGCCCCTCTTCGTCTCTCATGAAGTTCCTTGCTATTTTTCCAGTGCTTTTAGAGTCAGAGCATCCCTGCTTAGACTCAGTCTAATAATCACTTTGCAGGGAGAGCCTTGGCCTCCCTATCAGCATAGCCTCTTCCTTACCCTGGATGATCCCAACTGACTGTGCTGCTTTTTCTAGGCTCTTCGCCTTCAGGAGGGTGACCGAAACTGCCTGGTTGCTCGGTCTAAGTGCTATCTGAAGTTAGGAGATTTGGAGAATTCCCTGAAAGATGTTGAGGAATCTCTCAAAAACGACCAAACTTTCTGCAAGGTAACCCTGTGATGGGACTGATTTCTAGCTGGGAATTCACAGGTGTCATTGTTTATGCAGGGCCTGGTGTCTGACCCCATTTCCTTCTCTTCTCAGGTCACCTGTTCTATCCCCTTACCTCTACACCCAAACCATGACCCTCAACCCAGAACCCACCTACCATCTTGGTTTGACCTTCTTTTGTTCCAGGGAATTTTCCAAAAGGCTGAAACCCTGTATACTATGGGAGACTTTGAGTTTGCTTTGGTGTACTATCACAGAGGCTACAAGCTGCGGCCTGAGCGGGAATTCAAAGTCGGGATTCAGAAAGCTCAGGAAGCCATTAACAACTCAGTAGGAAGTAAGTGGCAGCTATCTAAGAAAGTATCTTGGGAACTGAATAGGCCCGCATTCCCTCATGCCCGCATGAACTTCTGGGGCTGGAGAAGGGCCAGACCCAAAGAAGTGAATAACCCCCTTAAGCCCACTGGCAATTCTAAAACAGGTGGCAGATTTGGTAACTTCTGATTTGCCATGTGATTGAACCACCTACACAAGAGGCTCCAGTCTCTGAGCCTTCCCACAGAGTAGAGCAGTCTTTGATTTTTTTTTTTTCTTCAGAGACAACTGTGATTGCAAAGCCTCCCCAAACAGATTTATATCTGGGAAGCTGCTATAGGGATGGAATGGAGTTAGACCTGTCTCAGACAAAGCTTTAACCCCTAGAGATGGACCTTTTCAGTCTCTAGCTGCTTTCCTCAGGAAATATGGTCCTGAGTTGCTGGTCCAGCCCTGTGGTCTACTTATTACCCAGAGGCAGCAGGAATGTGGAGTTTTTGTGTCTTTAGTTCCTGTAGGAGGCAGAGTATAAAAATGGCCCAGGGCTTGGACAACTGCTCTGTACCATTGGCTCCCACCCCCTTGTTTGGAAATAAAGCTGCCATGGCCCTGGGCAAGAGTAGGCTACCAGGCTTATGGAGGAGCTGGAGTGAATTTATACAGCCTACATTCCTGACTTGCAGGTCAGCTTAGATCATCCTAACCACAGCCCCCAGCCTTCCTCTGCCAAAGTCAACCCGTACTATGCTGTCAACAGTATGTCATAGGTCGTGGTCAGGGGCCTGGCTAATCTGTGAGCCTGCTTCTGTTCTTTCAGGTCCTTCTTCGGTTAAGTTGAAGAACAAAGGGGACCTCTTCTTCTTAAGCAAGCAGGCAGAGGTAAGGGCCCTGGTGTTGTGGCCACTGCCCTCAGTGGGAGGAATCCACATGTGCTTGGGGGTCTGTGTAGTCCTCCTGGTTGGAAGTGTTCAGTTCTCTCATCAAGAGTGCATGCTTCCACAGTCCCAGATGTTAGAGGAATCTTGGGAGTCTGGCCATTTCCCAGCCCTTTTCTTGAGTGAGCATCAGTCATGCTGTCTGCCATGGGCAATGGTTTTTAAGCCTACAGGGACATCACAGAGGAGAAGGAGGGGAAGCCCAGGTGTCATGGGAAGCCAAGGCCTGGGGGGTTTCTGCTTCCTGATGAGGCTCTGCTTTGTCTTACTCTGTACCCCCAGAGTATGAAAGCCCAACAGAAGACTCCCGTGAGGCAACTCTGGAAGGACACCAAGGCAGAAAGTAAACGGAAGAACTCATTGAAGAGCGAGAAGACTGTTCGACAGCTACTAGGAGAGCTTTATGTGGACAAGGAATATCTGGAAAAGCTCCTTAAGGATGAAGGTCTTGTTTATTATGGTTATCGAGATTCAGGATGTGGGGTAGATGGCCGTCCATGAATGTGGGGCTACTGAGGATAGAAGAGAACCTAGAACCAGAGTCAGAAGATTTGGGCCACTCCCGTTGCTTCTATGGCCTCAAATTCTCTGTCTGCTGGGCTAGTGGTGCTGGGAGGAGAAGAAAAATGAGACAGAAAATGAAAGTGCTATGGTAGAAATGCTCAGACGTAAGCCCAGGGATGATTACTGTCATTAGATAATTTGGCTACTGAAATTTGGATAATCTGACTAAATGCCTTTTCTCTAGAATTGGCTTTCTGATGATATAGTAAGATTCTCCCAGGGTCACCTGCTGCTCAGGGGCACAGAGGTATCTTCTTGATTACAGGGCTGGATGACTTTTGCCTCCCAGAATATATGCCTGTAATGCTGACTCTGTGAAGGGTGGGATGGCCAGACAGGGCTTAGAGCCTGTTGTGGTCCCCCCAGAGCCTTACTCTTAGCTTTGACCTACAATTCTGGGCCAGTTGCCAGCATGCACTATTCCATTTGGAGCTAAGGCCAAGCTAGGATCTCAGATCCAGTGTCCCTGTTTTTCCTCCTCTCCCAACTTTACCCAAAGTTCCAGGAACAGGAAAAGAAGCAGCTGTTCAAGGTATACAACTTCTGGGGCCGTGGCTTTGGACTCTGCTAATTATAATAGGAGCCTCTGCAGTACTGAGAGCCAGGAAAGAAGACTTCCTGGGCTTCTCTTTCAATTTATTAAATACCTGTTGTGTACAATGCAGTAATATACTCCTTTTACTTCCCCCTATAGCCTCAAGTATCAAAATAGGAGATTTCTCTACTCTGGTGGTGACTGGAAGAAAGATGCATAATCTCTCTTTAAATGCTAGAGGTCCATTTTGGCCTAACTCCTGACTGGAATGGTTTTCCCCCATTCAGATTTTCCACAAGTCTGGCACAGGGAGAGCCCCAAAGTATGGGTCTCTGACCAAGAGCTCTCCTTTTATTAGCTCTGCTCCCACTGACTCCTGCTGACTCCTGTTCTTCTGGCTCTTCCCTTCCTCCTCTTCTCATTCCCAAAGACCTGATCAAAGGCACTATCAAGCGTGGAATGACTGTGGAAGATTTGATCATGACTGGCATCAATTACCTAGATACCCGGACTGACTTCTGGAGGCAGCAGAAGCCAATCTATGCTCGGGAGCGAGACCGGAAGCTTATGCAAGAGAAGTGGGTGCGAGATCGGAAGCTCCGCCCCTCCGAGACTGCCCGCTATATTCTCAAGAGCCTGGAGGAAATTGACATGTGTAAGTGGCCCTGGTACCCAGGGGTGGGGCAGGATCAGATTCTCTCCTCCATCCCCAGTTATTTATGATGTAAGGGAGGGGGGGAGCAGGGGCCCGACACAAGGTCTGGGGCCAGAGGCCCAGAGAGGCAATCTGTACAACTTAACCCATTTCTACCTGAGGAGGAATCGGTTAATAGTAGCATGAACCCCAGGCCTTCTGCCCAGACCAGATGCCTGGCTGCATGGGGATGTACCTGAACTTGTACCCCGGCCTCTTTCCTTCCCAGTACTCACTAGTGGCAGTGCTGAGGGGAGCTGCCAGAAAGTTGAGAAAGTGCTGAAGAAGGTGATGGAGTGGGACAAGGAAAAAGTGCCCAACAAAGATGAACTGCTTGGCAATTTGTACAGCTGCATTGGGAATGCGCAGATTGAAATGGGGCACATGGCAGCTGCATTGCAAAGCCACCGGAAGGACTTGGAGATTGCCCGGGATTAGTGAGTGTCCAGTAGAAAGGTGGGAAGCTCTGTTGATAGGAGCAGGGATTTGATCCTGGGTACTGAACTCTAAAAAGGTAGCATGCACATCTCTGTCTACCAGGACAGTTCTATTTCTCAGCTATTTCCCTTGGTTTTTACCCTTTGTTTTGCTTATTAAGGTCAAATGGAATCACAGAATCTCAGAGTTGGAAGGAACCTCAGAGACTGTGCTTGAACAAGTATCTCATCTACAACACAACTGACGAATGGTCATCCAGGTTTTGCCCAGTGACCTCTAGTTAGGGAGAACCCACTTCCTACATGGCCAGTCCATTCCACTTTGAGATAGCTCTACTGTTAGAAATTTTTTTCTTTTATCAAGTCTAAATGGCCTCTGCAATGTCTATCTATCTCTATTCCTTCTGGTCCTATTCCATGGGGCTAAGCAGAATAAGCTCCCTCTCTTCCCTGTGACAGGCCTTTAGAACTTAAAGACAGCTGTCTTGTCTCCTTGAACTCTTCTCTAGGCTAAACATCGTAGCTCTTTTAATGGATCCTTAACTGGCATGAACTTACAACCCTTCAGCATTCTGACTGCCCTCCTTTGGCCACTTTCCATTGATCAATGTTCTTTCCAGAATATGGCATCTAGAAGTAGACACAGTATCCTGGATGTGGTCTTCCCCAGGGAGAACACAGCAGAGAACACCTCCCTAATCCTGGTCCTTGTGCTTCTCTCAATACTATTGAGTCTAGGATTACATGACCCAAGTGTGAGACTCTACCTTTATCCTTATTAAATGTCATCTTATGGTAGGCTCAAAGTTCTCGTAATTCACATCTTTTTGAATCCTGTCACCCTGTGAGTTAGCTGGCCCTTTTATCTGTATCATCTGCATATTTGAGAGGCCAACCATCTATGCCTTTATCCCAAGTCATTGACAAAAATGGTAACCAGCACAGGGTCAAGAACAGTTCCCTGGGGCATGCCAAAGGAGACGATCTCCCAGGTTAACATTAAACCATTAAAGATGACTCTTTGGGTCTAGCCATTAGACCATCTAGCCCATATCTCTTCATTTGCTTTTACAACAATAGCATGAAGCGCTTTGTTAAACACTGCTAAAATCTAGGAAAATTATATCTACTGCATTCTTTTGATCCCCCAGGCTAGAAATCCTGTCCAAAAAAAGGAGATAAGTGTAATGAGGGGATGGGCCAATGGTTCCCAGTAGTAGTTTGGTATAACTTGTTTTGTTTTGTTTTTTGTGAGGCAATTGGAGTTAAGTGACTTGCCCAGAGTCACACAGCTAGTGAGTGTTATGTGTCTGAGGCCAGATTTGAGCTCAGGTCCTCCTGACTCCAGGGCCAGTGCTCTATCCACTGCACCACCTAGCTGCCCCAGTATAACTTGTTTTTGATGAAGCCATGTTGGCTCTTATGATCGTCACTCCCTTTTCTAGATATTCCCTAACCATCCCTTTAATTCTAGAACTTTACAAAGGATCAAATTCAAGCTTACTGGCCTATAGTTTCCAGACTCCACTCTTTTCACTTTTTGAGGACAATATTTGCCCTTCTCTGGTCCTGTGAAGTCTCTTTTTCTCCATGATCTTTCCACATTGGCTCAACCACCATGGCTGCCAATTCTTCTGTTTTAATAATGACTCAGAAATGTCGTTCATCTGGCTGGGTGACTTGCACTTACCTAAAAACAAGGCTGGAGGGCAACCGAACAGGTTTCCAATTGAGTCTAGCAATCTTGATTTGAGTTGGGAAATCACAGTGATCTAGAATTCTAGCAAGGTGGTATGGTGCAGCGAAAAATATACTGGGCTTAGAGTTAAAGGACCTAGGTTCAGATTCTGGCTCTGCTGATTACTCCCTTGGGACCTTGGGCAAATCATACAACTTCTCTGGGCCTCGGATTACTCATATTTAAAATAAGGGGGTTAACAGGATAATCTCTAAAGTTCTTTCCAGCTCTGTATCCTATGATCCAAGATGAGTACATTGATCTTTTTCTGGCAAATAGCAGCAGTTTTAATTCCTTCTGTACCCTCCCTCTCATTCTGGGTTCTAGTCAGGTATACCCCTTGTCCTCCTGGGGTATTTACCACTATTGAGCAAAAGAAATACATTGTAGATTCACAACTGACTGAGTGACTAGACTCAAAGGGTGTTAATCAATGGATTGCTTTCAGACTGGGGGTAGATCTCTACTACAGGGCTCTAGGGGTCTGTGTTTATGGTAGTGGTGGTATTTTCTGTTCCACATTTTTATCAGTGTAGTCATGATTCAAGAAAGACATGAGGCCAGAAGGAAGAGATGAAACAGATAGCATAATCAGGATTCTAAAAGATGTTGACAAACAAAAGCTCTTGAGTCAGAGCTAACAAGGTAAAATTTCATAGGGCTGAATGTGAAATCCCAAATTTGAGTTTAAAAATCAATTATACGAAGTATAAAATGGAATTAGTGTGTCTAGATGGCTGTGCAAGTGAAAAAGACCTGGAGGTTCCAGTAGATGGCAAGCTTAATGGGAGTCAACACTGTGATGTGGCAGCCAAAAGAGGTAATATGATCTTGACTGCATTAAAGTATGATGTCAACAAATGTGGTAGTCCCATTGAACCCTGCGTTGGTCATATCACCAGAGTGCAGTGTCCTTTTCTGGGAGTCATGGTTTTTAGTTGTTGTTTTTTTTAAAGTTTTGTTGATGTCTTTTGTTTTTGTATGATAGTCATTATCTATCACCTCAGTGCTTTTGCACAGGCTTGCTTCACCTCCTCCATGCCTGGAATGCTCTCTCTCTTCTTAATGTTGACTCTTAGAATATGCCTAGCTCCATGTAGAGCTTAGTTCCTATACCACCTCCCTCCTTCAACTGCTAGTTCCCTCCCTTCCTAACTACTTTATATTTATGTCTCAGTCTACACTCTTAAGTCCATCATCCCTTTATCAGAAGGTGAAGGTAGCATATTCCATCAGGAGTCTTTTGGAATCATGGTTGGTCACTGCATTCATCAGAATTCTCAAGTCTTTCAAAGTTGTCTTTACAGTATTGCTGTTTTGTATAAATTGTTCTTCTGATTTTATTCACATCACTCTGTATCAGTTCATAAAAATATTTTTAGGTTTCTCTGATACCATCCTATTTATCTTTTTTTGGGGGGGGGCAATTGGGATTAAGTGACTTGCCTAGGGTCACACAGCTAGTAAGTGTTAAATGTTTGGTCTGAGGCCAGATTTGAACTCGGATCCTCCTGACTTCAGGGCCAGTGCTCTATCCACTGCGCCACCTAGCTGCCCCCTATTTATCATTTCTTACAACATAATAGTATTCTGTCGTTCATGTGTCATAATTGTTCAGCCATTCTCCAGTTGATGAGCACGTACTCAGTTTAGCATCACAAAAAGAGCTGCTATAAATAGTTTTGTACATTTTTAGGGCTTATTTTGCATAGGACTAATCCCTCTTTTAATCTACTCTTCCTCTTATTCCCCCTCTCATCTCCCTATTGTGAAATGTATTTCTGTACCCAATTATGTATGTGTATATTCTTCCCTCTTTTGACCAGCTTAGATAAGAATGAGGTTCAAGTGTCACCTACTCTCCACGCCCTTTCCTCCTTTTTTTGTATAGACTATTTGTTCACCCTAATTATGTGATTATTTTCTGCATTCTTCCTTTCCATTTTCCCCTACTAGTGTATTTCTCTTCCCCTCCTTTTCCATTTATCTGTTAAGATCATCAAAACATAAAACCATTTTCAGGCCCTGTCTCTAATCAGACTCCCTCTATGTCCATGGATGATGATAGGGTTTTGAGAGGACACATGTATCCTCTCCTCATATTAGAATATAAACAGTTTATCTTTGTTTAGTCCAGACCTGCACAACTTGGCAGTAGGTAGGGGCCAAAATTAAAACAGACTAAACTTCTTTGGGTCACAGATAGGTTAGACTAGAGACAGACTGACAGTGGTTGATTGGCGTGGATCATGCGACAAACAGGAGAGAGCGTGCAATAGCAACCTTACATTTTTTGCAGGCTACCTGAAATCCTTTGGTGGGCTGTCAATGTTGAGTAGGTGTGGTTTAGTCCCTTATAATTGTTTGCTCATCTTTACCCTTTTAAGTCTTTCTTGACTCCTGTGTTTGTACTTCAAGTCTCTCTGCGTCTCTGGTCTTTTCATCAGGAATGCCGAGAAGTCCTTTTTTTCATTGAGATTCCATTGTTTCCTCTGCAGGATTACACTAAGTTTTTCTGGGTAAGTTGTTCTTGGTTGTAAGCCTATAGTTTTTGCCATCTGTAATATCATATTCCAAGCTCTCTGTTTCTTTAGGGGTGTGGGTACTAAATCATGTGTGATCCTGATTTTGGCCCCATGGTATCTGAATTCTTTCTTGCTGGCTGCTTGCAGTATTTTTTCTTTGACCTGAAAGTTTTGGATTTTGGCAGTAATGTTCCTGGGAGTTTTCATTTTGGAGTATCTTTCAGGAGATGATTGGTGGATTCTTTCTATTTCTGCTTTGTTATCTGGTTCCAAGAGAACTGGGCAATTTTCTGTTATGATTTCTTGAAATATGGTATATAGGCTCCTTTAGTGCAATGATTCTTAAATTTTCTCTCTTCATTCTTTCAGGTCAGTTTTTCTATGAGATACCTTACGTTTTCTTCTATTATTTTTCCAGTCTTCTGACTTTGTTTTAATATTTCCTGTTGCCTCACGTGGGGTCATTGTTTCCTGTTTGGTCCATTCTAATTTTCAGGGAGTTTGTTTCTTGAACAAGGTTGTATACCTCATGTGCCATACTGTTCATTTCTGTTTCTTTCTGTTTCTTTCTTCTCTAGCTCTCATTTCTTCTCTGTTTTTTTCTTCTAACATTCTCATCTCACTTATTAAAAAAAATTTAACTCTTTAAAAAAAATTCTTGCGTCATCTCTTCCAGGAATTCTGGCTGAATTTGTGCCTAAGCTGTGTTTCTCTCTGAGAGATGTGTTGGAGTAATTTTCTTCTTCTGGGTTTAAGTATTAGGTATCCCTGTTACCATAATTGCTTTTTGTAGTGGGATTTTTTTGGGGTGGAGGGTTGTTTGTTCATCATTCCAGCTTACTTCTCGACTTTGGATTTTATGTTAAGGCCAGTCTTTGCACATTTGTCGAAGGAATGTCTGGGTGGACCCTGTATCTACTAGACTCTTGCTGGTGCTTTCTTGGGGTATTGATTGTGTTATTCTAAGAGCTTAGAAGGGCAGCAAGGTGGTGCAGTGAATAGAGCTCTGGCCTTGGAGTCAGGAGGACCTGAGTGCAAATCCAGCCGCAGACACTTAACACTTCCTAGCTGTGTGACCCTGGGCAAGTCACTTAACCCCGATCACCTCACAAAAAAAAAAAACAAAAAAAAGGCAAAAAAACCAAAACAAAACAAAACCAAGAGCTTAGGGACAGTTTAGGCAAGATTTCAATGCTTCTAAAGCATTAGGATCCAGAAAAAGTCTGATTAATAACCTTCTTGTCTGAGCTCTGTAAGTTCCTAGCCTGAGTTTGTGCCTAAGCAAAATACTTCTGTGCTTGCTCTTGCATGGAGTTCCAGTAGACTGCTCCTGGATGCAGTTACTATATACCTGCTAGAAAGTTCCATTGATTCAGAGCAACAGAACTTTAGGTACCCCTTTGTTCTGGGATTTCAGACCTGGCTGAAAGCTGGAACTGAGACCCTGCTCCACTTGTGGGGTCAGCACCCCACAAGTACTGCTTGCTTCTGAATTTGCTCCTTGCTCAGCACATAGCCCAGGACCCTGGGATTATTCCTCATCCTGGAACTCCATCACTAGGTGGAAGACCTCTTGTCTTCAGTCCATCCTGAATCAGTGATTTGGAACTTGGTAGTAAATAACAGAGTTTCTTGAGGGCACCTATTCCTGTACCCTGCAGAAGATTAGGCCCCTCTATATTGGATCTGGTGTCCCTTTTTGCCCTCACGCACAGCTTCTTCCTGTGCTGGAATGTTCTGCATGGCCACTCCTGGCTAGACGTCCTCTCCAATGTCCAGAGAATTCTCTGTCTCCATGTGTCAATCTGGGCTGGGAAAATGATTCCCTGTGATTTTTCTTGGATTTCCTGCTTAGGACTCAATCTTTTGTGGAAAGGGGGTATGGAGGAGAGCTCAGTTCTTTTTCTTCCTGCTAGTCTCCTCTCTGCATCATTTCTTGCTTCTTACCAAGTTTCTCTGAAATCTTCATATTAATTTTTCTTAAAGTATGATAATATCCCATTACCTCATTCACTACAACTTATTCAGCTTTTTTCCAGTGCATAGCCACCTACTTTCCTTCCAGTCTTGCTACTATTAAAGGTACTGCCACAAATATTTTTGTTATGTATAGGACCATTCCCTCTGTCTTTGATCTCTGTGGGGTTTGTGCCTAGTAGTGATACTACTATGTCAAAAGATATGTGAAATTGAGTGACTTTTCTAGAATAATTCAAAATTAAATAGATGCTTAAGAAATGTTGATTGATTGATTGATTGTTTCCCAATGTGGTTGGAACAGTTTAGAGCTTCACCAACAGTGCATTAGTGTGCCTATCTCCTTGCAGCCCCTCTAATTTTGATCATTTTTGTTTCTTCTCATCTTTGCCAATCCAGCGGCTGTGAGGTAAAACCTCATAGTTGTTTTAATTTATGTTTCTCATATTAGTAGAGATTTGGACCATTTTATCTCATGGGTTGAATTTTTTTTTAAACTGACTGTTCCTGTTCATTTGCTTATTTATCTAGTAGGGAATGGATCTTGTTCTTATATAGGAAGTGAACAACAGGACATCTCCCTTAAGATAAAGATATCTGCTTGGCCAACAGCCCCAGTTCTTCATAAAAAGGAAGCCATGTGGAAGAGTTCCTCATCACATAAAGGAACCTGTCTCCCCCGTGACTGACTGAGCTTGTTTTACAGATACACGCCTGTCTTCTGGTTCCTCATTTCTCCTGCTAGTCTGGCTCTGCAGTCCTCTCTTCTTTCTGGCATTTCTGTTTTTCCTCTCAAAATCTGTCTTGGTTTGTTTTTATGATGCTTATATTTTGGTTCCCATTCCAGGCCTGTCCTGCGCTGTCAGCTTTGGCATTTCATGGCTGCTTCCTCTGTCATTGGATCCCCATCCAGTATTAACCACCAACTTCCTGCCCTGTCCCAGGCCTCAGGCCTGGGTTACTGACAAGCCCTCATCTGTCACAGCAGGAGTAGAGCAGTTTTGACATTGTTATTTCCCCCCGCCCCTCTGCCCCCCATCCATTCCATTCTCTGTATACTCCATTCCATTGTGTGTACTCCTACCACTTTGGTCCAGTGGATGGAGTGTTGGGTCTGGCATCAGAAAGTTCTGAGTTTAAGTCTGGCCTCAGACACTTGGCAGCTGTGTGACCCTGGGCAAGTCATTTCAGCACTACGTGCCTCAGTTTCCTTAGCTGTAAAATGGGGATAATAACAGCACCTACTTCACAGGGTTGTTGTGAGGATCAAATGAGATATTTATAAAAAGTGCTTAGCACAGTAGCTGGCATATAGTGCTGTTGTTCAGTTGTTAATGCATGTCCGACTTTGCTGATCCCAGGGACCATAATATGGCAGGCCCTTCTGGTCCATGGATTTTTTTTGGCAAGATACTGTAGTTGTTTGCCATTTCCTTCTCTAGTGGATCACCTTTTGTCAGAACTCTTCACTATGACCTGTCCATCTTGGATAACCCTACATGGCATAGATCATAGTTTCATTGAGCTATGCAAGCCCCTCTGCTGCCACAAGGCAGTGATCCAGGAGGAGTGACACATAGTAGGCACTATATAAATGCTTATTCTCTTCCCTACCAGAATGGTTTTCCTCAAACTATTTTCACATCATTCCTTTGCTTAAAAATTTCAATGCGTCCCTGTACCTTTTGCATCTTAAGTCCTCCATCAATTTTCCCTGATTACTTTTCCTTCCTCCCTCCCCAACCTCTTCCTTATGATTTCTATCACATAATTCACTTCAGTATCTCAAAAGAGATGTATGTGGGTGCTACCTTCACCCACATAGACAACTCTTGTGCCTCATAGCTGATAGTTTCATCCTTGACATGATCAATCAGGTGATTCACTTCTCCAAACTTCCTTACTCGTCCTTACGTGATAATCCATTACCTGGCCTATAGTCAGGACCTGCCAGCATTTGAGTTGTCCTGGGATGGGGAGAACCCAAGAACCATCTACCAACCATGAGGAGGCCACACAGTTTAGCACTTAATCATTTGCTCTTTGATGTCTGTCATCATTTTGTAATATTGTTTTTGCCTCTCCAACAAGGTCCTGAGCTCCTTCGGGTTAGGAATCATGCCTCTTTACTTTGTATATCCTTGCAGAGCCTAGAACGATGCTGGGTAATGCATATATGCTGTTTAATGGGTAGGGTTGTATAAGAAGGAGGCAACCAAATTGTGGAGTGCTCTGAAAGCCATTCTGATGAATTTGGACTTTATCCTAAAAGAAATCAGGAGCAATTGGTTTTGAGCAGGAGAGAGATATGATGAATGTGTTTTTAAAAGTTCAGTCAGATAGAGGCAGTGATTCAGAGAGAAGAGGCTCTGGAGGCAAGGAGACCATTGTTAGGGGACTGCTGCTGTAATCTAGGCACAAGATGATACTTGTCCACCCTAGACAAGGTGGACATGGTCCCATGAAAATAACTCTGGTTCAAATCCTACCTCTGGCATTTATTACCTGTGTGACCTTACTCAAGTCACCCAACTTTCCTGGACCTGTTTTCTCATCTGTAAAATGAGATGGTTAGGGGCAGCTAGGTGGCGCAGTGGATAGAGCACCAGCCCTGAAGTCAGGAAGACCTGAGTTCAAATGCGGCCTCGGACTAAACACTTGTCACTAACTAACTGTGTGACCCTGGGCAAGTCACTTAACCCCAATTGCCAAAATAAATAAATAAATAAATAAATAAAATAAAATGATATGGTTGGACTAGCTTTCTTCTGAGGTCCCTGCTAGCTCCAGATGTATGATCCTATCCTACAGGCTGGTAGCAGTGAGAATGGAAAGAGATGAGATGTGAAATCCATAGCCAGGGGCTGGTTTAGAAAAGTCACATTTCTCAGTTGAATAAGCAGCATTTTCAACTCTTTCCCCACAGCGAACTGCCTGATGCCAAATCTCGAGCCCTGGATAACATTGGCAGGGTCTTTGCAAGAGTTGGGAAATTCCAGCAAGCCATCGACACGTAAGTAAATAGGCACCCCCTGCTCTGGGCTCCCCACCCTCCCATGGCGCTCTGATGACGACACAGACCAGACTGAGAGGAGGAACAGCATCAGGACATAGAGAACTCGGCTCATTCTGTTCTGTTCCATTCTACTGAAGGCAGCTAGGAGGCTCCGTAAATACAGTGCTGGGCCAGGAGTTAGGAATACCTGAATTCAAATCCTGCCTTAGACGTGGACTAGCTGTGTGATCTGGGCAAGTCATATAACCTCTCAACCGAAGTTTCCACATCTATGAAATGGGGATGATACTAATAGCACTTACTTCCCAGAGTTATTGTGAAGATCACGTGTATATGACATACATAGCCTGCTGTGCAGACCTTTAAGCTCTGTATAAATGCTAGCTAGCTGTTATTAGCTGTTATTATTATTCTCCAAAAACAGAAGTTTATTTCCAGCTAGCTATTAGCTCTAAACTAGTTATGTGTGAATTTGTTTCTGATACACTACAGAGTAACTGGAAAAAAAAGGCACCAGCAAGACACAACAGTCCCAGAAGGGCCTACATATAAGAGCCCAACTCCCTAATAGCTGATGATTACCCAAGGGTTAATAAGTACCTGTGATAGGATGGCCTCAGTTCAACGTGGTGAGCACTAAGCTAGGTGCTCAGGAGGTATGGAAATAGAATGGTGAATGCCACATAGACTCTATCTTCATGGAGTTAACAGTAGAAAATGGGGAAAGAGCAGTGGCCAGGAAATAACCATAGGGAGAATTGAGATATGCCTGATCATCACAATGGGGAGGGAGGTGTAAAAGTCATCTCTGCTTGGAAAGGTCACAAGGAAAACCTCTCTTCTTCCCAAAACTCAACCAAAACAGTTATTTTCCAGGACAGATATGCCAAGCCAGAATTGACCCACAAACCATTGGTAAATTGATCAAAAGGATAAAATACAACTCAAATGCTGGCAAGACAAGGGTCTAAGGTCAGTTATCTCAACAGTGGTGATTTCCAAGCCCTCCACCAAAGTCCAGAGTGACTTTGTGACAAAAGCCCAACAATAGGAGCAGAAAACTCTAGGCCTAGACCTGGGAACAGCCAAGCTCTTCTAAATGCCTGAGGACATGAGGGATGTCAGATTGAGAGGGGGTGACTACAGAAGCCTACGCTCTTGCCCATCTAACATTCAGAATGGTGGTGGGAAAGTCAATCAATAACTATTTATACAGTGTGCTCTATGTGCTCAGGATAAGTTAAGGCTGTGAGGTACCTTGTAATTTATTTGTATTTATTGTCATAATAATAAGAGCCGAATTGTATATAGTCCTATAAAATTTGCCCAGCACTTTGCTATATGCATGACACAATCAGAAACTACCTAAGACAATTTATCCTGATATGGCAAATTATCAAAAGGAGGTCTTAGACCAGAATCTTCCTTCATTTCTTCTTTAGGAGAGACCAGAGTTCTAATTTCACCTATTTAGGAGACTACCTCCACCCTGACCCTCTTCCTTTGTCTATGGTTGGGCTATGTTTTGCCCATAAGAAATAGAAATACCCAGTCACTTTGTGACCCTGAATAAGCATTGCTTGAGTATCAGTGTATCTGTGAGGGTTTGGAAGTTTATTTGGTTAAACATAGAAAAGGGTTCAACTATTGAGCTGCTACAGAAAAGGGAGGAATATTCACTCCGTCTCCTCTTTCCCTAACCCTTGGAATATGGACCCTGCCAGTCTTGCCCAGTTATCCCCTTTCTCCTCCCACCAGATATGGCCTATTTTCCTTTTATTTTTATTAATTTATTTTGAATTACTAACAATCACTTCCATAAGCTTTTGAGTTTTAAATTTTTCTCCCCCCTCTCCCCAAGATGGCACACAATCTGATATAAGCTGTACATATATATTCATATTAAACATATTTTCACATTAGTGATGTTGTAAGTAAGAATTAGAACCAATAGGAGAAACCACCAGAAAGAGGAAACAAAACATAACAGAAGAAAAAAAAATAGCAAATATTATGCTTTGATCTGCATTCAAACTCCATGGTTGTTTCTTTGGATGTGGATAGCATTTTCTATCACAAGGCCTTTGGAGATGTCTTAGAGCCTTGTATTGCTGAGAAGGGTTAAGTTGATCAATATTAGTCATTGTACAGCATGGCTGTTATTGTGTGCAATGTTCTCCTAATTCTGCTCACTTCATTCAGCATCAGACCATACAAGTCTTTCCAGGTTTTTCTGAAGTC